AAATTTTTAGAAGTTGGGTCTACTTGATTCAATCTGAGACTCGTGTGGGTAAGTCTTTTAACCCGACACCTAAAATAACCCAATCTAAAAACTCAAGATCCGAGATAATCCAATCCAAACCCATCAAATCCAACCTATTTGCTAGTTCTATGTGTCACTCTTTCTCGTCATTCCCAATTGCTTAAACCGCCTAGCCCTTGGCTTCCAAACTCCCGTGGCAACTGCCTTACCCCCTCGAAATGAAACTGACAAGCTAGCATTGGTAGCCTTCAAGGATAAAATACTTGAAGATCCATTTGGAGTCATGAGTTCTTAGAACAAGTCTCTCCATTTTTGCAATTGGAGGGGGGTTTCATGCAGCCATCGACACAAGGGTAGAGTTACCAACTTGAATTTGGCCGGCCAAAAGTTGGTTGGTTCGACATCACCCCACATTGGAAACCTATCATTTCTAAAGCAAATCAACCTCGGTCACAACTACTTCACAGGGGAGATTCCTCAAGAGATTGATCATTTGTTCCGGTTGAGAATTCTCAATCTCAGTTCTAATGTCCTTCAAGGCAAAATTCCAAGCAATTCGACATTTTGCTCAAGATTACAAGATGTCTATTTCAGCGAGAATGGCCTTACTAGTGAAATTTCTGTTGCACTTCGAAATCTTTCAAAAAGTGTACGCATTATCCACTTCTCTAGAAATCAATTAATTGGAAGTATCCCACAATGGTTGGGGAATGCGTCTTCACTTGAAATATTGGTTTTGAAAAGAAATAATATACATGGAAGCAGTCAGGTAGAGCTTGGTAGAGTTCCAAAGTTGGATATTCTAGGGCCTGGTAGAATTCCAAAGTTTGGATATTCTATCCATTCCTCGTCAACAAAGTAGCTCCATTGGTGTAAAAGGAACAATTGGCTACCTAGCCCTAGGTAATTGTTTTAATTATCTTTGTTTATTTCAATCTCTTCAATTTTTTCTTTGTGTTTGCATTTATAGTTAACATAATATATCAACGATATCACACAACTTTCCCTTCCTAATGCAGAATATGGCTTGAGAACAGGAAATCCAAACTTGGAGATGTATACAGCCTTGGAATTCTCTCGTTGGAGATGATTACAGGAAAACAACCAACAAATTCATTATTTCAGGACAATTTCACCATTCACTAATTCGCTAAAGCAGCACTGCCTGAGAGGGTGATGGATATTTTAGAGCCTTCACTGCTGCAGGAGGTACAAGATCATGCACGTTTAGGTGCAAGGAATCGGGGAACAAAAGTTAGTATTTTGGAGAGCTTGGTCACAATGGTAGGTAGGAGTCTTCTGCCCAATGGTATCACCAAATGAAAGAATGAAGATGAAAGAAGCCATTGCAGAATTGCGTGCAGTTAAAGACAAGTTCGTTGGTCGTAGAATCTAATTCCCATCAGTTGGTTCCATAAATAATTCTACATAAGGTTTGATTTGATTGCTCGAGCATTCTTCTTCTAGTTTGTTTCTTTTTTCTTTTTCTTTTTTTTCTGAAATTGAACTTGTACTTTCGATGTTACATCAAGTTACATGAAACAAATATAGCTTATGATTTCCCATTGACTAAAAGTATACTCACAATACTGCAGAATTTATCACTGGCCAGTGGAAAAAAAATTGAGCTACCAAAAATATCCATTTAAATTTATATTTACAATGACATATAAGATTGTAAATATACAATAATGTAATATTAAACAAGTAAATACATATAGTATTACATAAGACCTCAATAATAAATGTAAATTATATAATGATGTCCTAATTGTAAATTTATAATTTTACATAATATTATAAACATAACATTTTTGTATGCATATATTGACGTGCTGCAATAGTATATATTTTCTCCCTGGCATAACAAACTAATGAAATCTTAATGCGTATACAAATTAATAATAAAATGAGAACATTTTTCATTCACTTGGACCCATAGGAATCGGTATCCATACTCTGACGTGTCAAATTATAATTAACTTGTTATAATGCTGGGGAATCCTATGTCCTGTAGGTTATTCAATGATAGCCGTGCTGATAAGGAAAAATAAAAATACAATTATAGCCATCACTTTTCTCAAATTTTTCTCCATCCATTTATAAGTTGAAATATGAGACCTTAAGACTCTCAAGTCCGTAATAGTTAAGAGATTCACTTCCCGTGCTGCACCTATGAAAAACCCTAGGGAGCTGTATGAATTTGTGCCGCTGAAAAACTTTTACCTCTCTATGATATCTTCCATATACATTTTACAACTACTTGGAGGATTATATTTTAATTTCTTGGTGTTATTTCATTACTCATGTGAATTAGTGAATACATAGCATACAAATAATTTATCCAGGTAATGTTCTACCAGCAACTGTAAGTCCCATAGTAGGACTATTCAATTGTTGTTTTCCTCCTTTCTGTCTGCCTTCTAGGCTTTTGATTTAGAGTTCTAAACTTCTAATTGTAAACCAACAAACTAATAAAACGTGTGGTGTTAATTAGACATTCCACAACATAAAGCAAACCACCAAAAATTTGCACCGAGCTGCATATCATTATCTAATATAAGGTTGTTTGAAAAAGTAACAAAATTTTGTTTGCTTCAACTCTAGTTTGAAAACAATACAAGTTCACACTGTCAGCAATCAACATACTATGCAGGCACATTAATGACCAGTAAAACAATTTGAAATTAGTCTGTTCGTAAAAACTGACCTACAAGTTACGAAGAGGATGCTTGCCACTCTAGTGTTTCACCTGCAAACATAGGAATGATATCACCGAATGAAAATGAGAAAGACTCTGGAACTTTCCATGAAGTCTTGATCAATTTAATCTTTGATGTGTTCCTTGGAAGACCATAGAAGTCTGGACCATTAAGGCTTGTAAATGCCTCTAGTCTGTCAAGTGCACCCGCCTAAAATAAGCAGACAAACTCTTTAGAAAAGAGGCTGTTTACATAAGTAACATCTTAGGAATAGGACAATGATGAAATGTACCTCTTCAAAGACCTTTGCATATAAGGCTAGGGCAACTGGGGCATTATAAATGCCAGCACAACCACAAGGACATTCTTTTCTTCGTCTCTCATGAGGAGCACTATCAGTTCCAAGGAAAAATCTTTTACTTCCACTAGTCACAGCTGAAACAATAGCCTGTCCTAGATAAGAGAATAATGTATAAGATTGAGGCAAAAGAAAAAAGAAAAATATGGATAATATCCCTTGCTATCATATCAAAGCTAGGAATGACGCTTCCCATGTTCAATTGTTCAAGAGTTACTTAAAGGAACAATTTATTCTCGGTATTCCAATAATTAGAAAGCACAATAATCCTTCAACATCTTTTCTACATCACATTATTTAGAAAAGAAGCATTTGAAATCCTTATCCTTAGCTACACCATGTTGCTTAAAATTTAAAGCAAAAATGCAATCCACCAGTCTCAACATGAGAGACAATTCAAATCTCCAACTCCATGGAAGACAAGAAAAGAAACATACTGTGGATTTCTCTCTTGAGCACTGGAAGGCAGTAGTTGTGTGGTTGCAGTCCTCCTTGAAAGAGAGCATTTCTATTGAGAAGAAGATGTTGAGGAGTAACAGTTGCAGCTACAAATCCTAAGGAAATGAACTAACGAGATTAAAGGGGCCAGAAGGAAGAAAGTTAAATGGTTACGGATAAGACCTATAAAAGAAAAGAATGTCAGATAAATGGTAAAACTCCTCTGGGAATATACTATTTAGGCATACCTTCTTCACAAGACTCAACAAACCTAACAGCATCCATGGTGGTGATATGCTCCATCACAACTTTTAACTTTGGAAGCCTTTGGATTAAAGGTCGCAAAACAGTGTCGATGAAGACTTTCTCACGATCAAAAACATCAACACTGGGATCTGTAACCTCCCCATGAACCTGTTATCAAAATAGTAATAATCCACATCATACTACAAATCATACAAAGAATTGTCACCAGGTTGAGATACGAAAATAAACAACAAAGAATACAAACATAATTTTTAAAAGCACTACTAAAAGTAACCAGGGCTGCATATAGCTTCAGTAGCACTAAGTTGATGGAAAGACAGCCATCTTTGGTTCCCAAAAGGGCACATAAGTCATATAAGGCAAAATAAAGCTAAGCTGATCAATATTATTTAGAACTTGTTCCATTTCTGGATATTGTAGGGAGACATTGACACGCTTGCCAAGAACATTAAGCTATGCTGGGAAATTCCTTTCTAGATCATAGGCATATGAGACATTAACAAAGTAGTCACTATTTCAAACTTTGGCTTCCAACATATGTTAAAACTAATAACTAATAACTAATAACTAAGAATTTTCCCCAAGCCTCAGAGCCTTTTAGACAAGAAGTTAAGAGAAAATAATAAAATTACCAGCAAAGGCATGTTGTGCTCAACCATCTGCTCAAGGACAGGCAAACATCTTCCAAATAGGTCTGTGACACCATCTTGGGAATTTGTGGTTGCACCAGCAGGGTACAACTTAACAGCAAAAACAACTTTGCTACAACCTGCCCATAGATCAAATATTGTCAGTGAACCTTAAAAATGGAAAAAGAAAAAAAAGGGGAAAAATTTGTTGCCAAAAGGACAAGATTGTGGCAAAGAACTAATAGGAGAACATTGTTAGTTTTTATTATTATTTTTTAATTTATCGAGTGTTATCAATAGTCAAAACAAATAAATTACAGATTAATGCAAGCACAAAAAGCCTCTACTTTTGAAAAGAGAAAAAGAAAAAAGAAAAAAATCTAAGTACCATGGGCCCTAACAAAATAACAAAGAAATCGTCAATGGTAGGATTTGAAAGCATCCCGAGATCAATTACTATCCACAGATAAGGTGGTTCATTATTGCAAACAATAATTTATTTTGGTCTAAATTAGGCAATATTATATGATGAAATTCTAAATAGTGGAATCAAGGCAGGTGAATTCTACTTTCTACAGAAAACATGTATTGAAGGAGTCATATTAGTTAGTATAATTGAATTAAAAATTTTCAGGGGTGAGTAAAATCTAAAAAGAATGAAAGAAGGTGACAACTTGACTTACTTGCAAGCTTGATCTCATCAGGACTTGTCGAATCTGTTAAATACAGTGTCATTAGGGGATTGAAATTGCTACCAGTAGGCAATGCTTTCAAAATGGATTCCCGATAAGTCACAGCAGCAGCAGTGGTAGTAACTGGAGGTTTCAAATTTGGCATCACAATTGCCCTCCCAAAGTGATTTGCACTGCAGTTTTATCACTGATTCTTAGATTTATAGAAAACAAACTGCAGTCATCAAAAATAAAAGAACACTCTCCTTCAAGTAAAATCACCTGTGAGGGACAACAGCTTGAAGAAGTTCACCATCGCGCAGATGAAGATGCCAATCATCAGGTTGAACCAGAGTTAGCTCCATCCTTGGTCCCTTGCACTTCAACTGCCTAGACCCTTCAACTTTCGCTAATGGGAACTTTAATGTCTGCAATGCAGCAAAGAGAATAAGCATTACGTAAAAGCAAGAGAAAAAATGCTGGGTCAAGTAAAATTAAGACATCAGAGTGAGCTATGCAAAGTCCTAAAAAGGTTCATGAAGATATAGAACTGAAAGTAGATATGAAGATTATACATACTTTGCAAGGCAGAAACGAAGTCTTTATCATTCTAATGCAGCACAAGAAAACCTAATTTTCTCTGTTGAAATTGAAGAAGCAGAATCAGGGGAAAATTATTTAATTAACATCAAATTTAACATAAAAAAAAACCTTGCTAAATTATTTTATCAAGTATGGATACAACATTCTGTTTATGAAAAATTACTTCATGTAAATTAGAACATGAATCAGAGAAAGATATGACCAGTGTTTTTAGCACCGGTGACACATACCGATTTATAGCGGATATTTGTGAAAATGGAAGATCCCGGTATAACTTAGCACTTTCTCTTCGTCGCCGGTGAAATGTGAGGCGGAATGGAGGGAGCTTTTTCAACAGCTCCCCTGCATCGGTTGGCGGCGATTTTAAGCATTCATTTTAAAACCGGTTCGGGTATTATGCTCAGGAAGATAACCTGAAGTAGACTGGTGGATGTAGCAGGGGAAGAGGGCCTAAACGTTTCGTTTGGCTAATAGATCCTTGAAACTTCCCGTGGTTCAATTGAATCCTCGTAGTTTTTACTAATGTCCAATTAAGCGCCTCTATTTATATTAAAGTTCAACTTAACTCTCGTTTCAACATTTTTTTTTATACCTCCATGATGGGTGTCCATAGCGGTAATCCTCCATTTCTGGAATCCTTACCCATCCCAAATTAGCTCTAATTTTAATGTTGTAATTATAAATTAATTAGGGAACTAAATATATATAAAATCAAAATAACACTTAAAATTAAAAATTAACAATCATGTGATAAGTATTATTTCAAATTTTAAAACTAAATTCGAGTTCAAACTCAACTCGTGAACTCATTTGGGCTTGAGAAGATCCAAATGGTTGAATTAAGTTGTCATTTGAAATTCTTGTACTTTGTTAATAATTATTTTAATGGAATATTATTTTTTGTTTACATAATTATTAAAATATACTCCATTAATAAAGATTAAATTAATTGTTACAAACCTATATAAGCATGACATTTATGAGTATGTTATTAAATGAGAGAAAGTAACCTTCTATTAAATAATCAAAATAAAAAAATAAATTAAAATAAAATTTATACAACCACTAATTTCCCTAAAAAAAAAAACTATGCAAGCATTAGCAGGAAGTAGAATATTTCAAAATCAACCCCAATAATTGAAATTTTTTTTTAAGTGCAATCACCATGCGCGGTGTGGTCCAATTAATTGCATTACACAGGAACGGGACGGTCAGCTTTTGAAGAGCACGAAGAGTATTGTGCATTCAACAAGGATTCAATTGTTTTTAAACCCATGATTCCCTGGGAGAAGTCCATTTTTTGGCCGGACAGCAACTCCCACTTCCAAACCTAAAACATTGTTTAAAACCACATGTCTTAGGTAAGTGTCATAGTAATTTAATTTTCTTGCATGCAAAGGCAGTGCAAAATCTTGCAATAATAAATCTCTTTTTTGTTCCTTCTTTTAAGAAAAACACACACAAACACACAAGCTTGCACTTTGCCATGGCCATCTAACACCTACTGCCCATGCAAGGCTCTTCTCCTGCAGAGAGTACGACAGACAGCAATCAGCATCCACATTTTTATGAGAACTTTGTAATGAAACAAACTACAATAAATCGGCAGACCATCACAAATATGAACAATATGCAAAGATGTTAATTGTAAAAGAGATCAGTGATCAATATTATTTAATTGGCATAACATTCATGTTTGTCTATACGAGGCCATTCAAAGAATATTAGGAACAAGAAGCACATTACCTGCAGACCTTGCAGCTACAGCTTCTTGTAAGGTATTGGTCACGTATAACATGTCTGATGGCCTCTCAATTCCCATAGTTTGCAAAATCTCAAAATAACTTTGTGCTTCATTTTTATTTCTGTAGTTTGAAATTTGAACAGAAGATTTTATCTGACTAGGTTATACAAAAATAATCAATATCCAAAAGCTAGCAGCCCAGAAGGTTTACCCCATTGTAGTGTCAAAAAATCCACAAAAGTATTTTCTCAAGTTCCCAAAGTTGGAGTATGAAAACAAAAGAAGTTGTACTTCCCTGCTACAACTTGAGTATGCATACACCTTTGGTAAGAAAGAAAATAACAATCAACTCCATAGAAGCTATTTTATTCTTATGAACTAAAAGGCTGCTTTGTTTATCAGCAAAACAATGAATAAAACTTTCAGAAAAGGGTGTTTTAACAAAAAGATAAGATAAAATGTAGGCAGTAGGTCTGACTGTTTTACAACAAAAGAAAGCTATGAAGAAGATACTAGACCAAATTTGAATGATCACTTTTTCACATTGGTCATGAAAAGTATTGCAAGAGATACC